CCAGCAGCAGCAGCAGCAGCAGCAACAGCAGCAGCAGCAGCAGCAGCAGCAAGCCCCAGACCCCACAACCCTAAACCCTTAAAAATGAGGGTTTGCTGCTGCCAAGACGCAAACTAAAAGTCCCCGTAGGCGAAAGAGCTCGTGGCGCAGTACCGACGCCGCACCCGCAGAACCCTGCAGCAGCAGCAGAAGCAGCAGCAGAAGCAGCAGCAGCAACAGCAGCAGCAGCAGCAGGAGCAATGGTGGCAGCGCCAGCAGCTGGTGCTGGGCATATGGGACACGAACTGTTCTGTTTCCTTTCTCGCCCTAGACTCTCTCATTTTTAAAGCGGGTGCTAGGGTTTAGGGTTTAGGGTTTAGCAGCGGGACTCACAACTTTGGATTGGGCCGCGCTGCAGCAAAGACAAACAGCAAAGGCACAGCGCAGCAGCAAACCCCGAGAGTAGCGTCAAGGGTTTAGGGTTTAGAGGTAGGGTTTCGGGTTTCTAAATAGCCAAACGCTAAACCCTTGGTAGCGCACCCTTAACTGCTGGCCCCACGCCGTAAACCCTAAACCCTAAACCCTAAACACTAAGGCTTACGTTTCGTTTCGGGCGGCGAGGGTTCGTGGCGCTTCTCCGGCGGATAAAATGTGTTGAAGGCTCTGCAGCAGCAAGCCCCAAACCCTAAACCCTAAACCCTAAGTCGTTGCCCCCTAAACAAAACAGCGCGCCCGTGTCTAGTCCAGGGTTTAGGGTTTAGGGTTTATCTACCGCTTTCTGTTCCCTTCTTCAAGCCCTCCTGGACCCGGCGCGGCCCCCGCAGGCTCTGAGCCACAAACCCTAAACCCTAAACCCTAAACCCTGAAAGAGGGCCCCCCAGCTTCAAGGTGCGCTGGCTGCTGAGGGTTTTGTGAACAATTTGATTCTGAAGCTTCGCCTTGGCTCGAGGGTTTAGGGTTTAGGGTTTAGGGTTTGGGGTTTACCGGCGCCGCGGCTCTTTCCCCCTTTCGGGTGTACGGGAGGAGCGCCCTCGCCTCTCCAGCCTGCACAAGGCAGCAAACCCTAAACCCTAAACCCTAAACCCTAGGAACAGCCGGGTGCAGCGGGCGCTGCGTTTCTGCACATGGGCTGCGGAGGCCCCCCTCGGTCTGCGGCTTAGGGCCTGGGGTTCGGCGCCCAGGGCTAGGGTTTAGGGTTTAGGGTTTAGGGTTTAGGGTTTGCGGCACCGGTGATCCTGGGGTCGTATTTGAGGGTGAGTTTGAGGCAGCTGACACTTTTTTCGTTTTTGTCTTTCAAATCAAAAATAAATAAATTATTTACATTTGGAAGAACTCGAAGGTCGAACTGAAACAAACTTTGCGGAATCCGCAAAAAATTCACCGGGTCCTGAACCCGCAAACCCTAAACCCTAAACCCTAAACCCTAAACCCTCGTTTCCTGGGCCCAAACCCTGTTCCCCGCCCTCGGGGGATTCGCTGCGGAGGGCTGCGTCGAATGGAAGCCACAGGGCATTTAGTCGACCTGTTATTAGGGTTTAGGGTTTAGGGTTTAGGGTTTGACCCGCTGGTTTCCCTGGCTTCGCTCGAGGCTGAGGGTGTGGAACTGAAGAGTCTGAAGAATCAGCGAGAGCTTGTCTTCGTCCTGAAGCAAACCCTAAACCCTAAACCTAAACCCTAAACCCTAGAAGCTTAGCTTTTGCCTCTGCTGGCCTTTGAAGCCGTCCTGTCGGGAAAGAGCTGCAGCTCCCCTCGCAAAGATAGGGTTTAGGGTTTAGGGTTTAGGGTTTACTATGGGCTCGTGGGGGTGGATCATAGGCTGCCAGTTGCCATACTGCGTCAAGTCCAGCGGCGTCTGCGCACGAACCCTAAACCCTAAACCCTAAACCCTAAACCCTCGCTTCGAAGCTGCAGAAGCCCTTCAAGCAGAAGCCGGAAGCAAACCTGGGGTTTGAAGTGGGAACGCAGGGATTTCGGGCGGAGGGCCCCTAGGGCGTAGGGTTTAGGGTTTAGGGTTTAGGGTTTAGGGTTAGGGTTTAGGGTTTGGGGCTACGTCGTGCTGGGGAGTGCGTGTGATCTGGCAGAAGGTGGCGAGGGCCCCGAAGTCGATGGAGGGGAAGGGCAACTCAAACCCTAAACCCTCAGCTAGGGTTTGGGAGGCCCACAAAACCCTAAACCTCCCGTGAGGAGAACAAACCCCTTTTGCTGCTTTTGCACAAGCAAACAAAAAGTGGTGCAGCCGCAGCTGAAACAACGCACACCCAAACGGGATGAACTCCGGGCACCTGCACAGCCACAAACCCTAAACCCTAAACCCTAAACCCTAAGCCCTAAACCCTAAACCCTAAACCCTAAG